CCTACTTCTCATTGTATAGATAAAGATACAGAGACCAAAAGAGTAGAAGCATTCATGTCCAACGCCATATAACAATCAAGGACAGAACCTAGTTCAAATTCCAACTGTCCCAGTTTCCTAGTTCTTCCAAAGAAAACTCCCAACCCCCAAATGGATAGGGACAGATGCTATAATGTCTACTCTACAAGTGAGTAAAAGTAAGGTTGCCCAGACAATTGATGGTAGAGATGGATTCAAATTCAGCTCAGTCTGGCTCTTCACCAAGACACTATTCTGTCTCTTCTATTTTGAGCCTCTTTTTCTTTACCCAAAGGCTAAGTTAACACCCACACAAAGTCTTACACATTTAAGCACTAGTTGTGCTTAGCCAAGCTCTGTGGCTTTGAGCTGTTGAAGGGTCATTTAACAGGTGGAGGGAGGAGCTTCTGTATTAATCAAAGACATCTCCATCATAAAGACTTTCTTCCTACTTCACTTGTTCAGAACCACAGCACCATGTGTAATGAAGGGCTCCTTTCCAGCTGAGGCAGAAGGTATCATCCTTTCCCACGCATTCATGGGAATGGATCCAAGGAGATCCCAACCACCAGAGATGCTGGTGTCCAGTGGTCCCCCAGGCTATCCAGAAACAGAGGCCAGAGCTGCCCAGCAAATGTCAGGCAAGTCACACCACTCACTCTGATACTCCCTGACTGTGCCACACAATGGGACTCAGCACTGGACTCAGCACTTCAGGCAGCTCAAGTAGTCAGCTGTTCTCACATAGAAGAATGGTTCTGTTCTGCTCTGGAAGGTCTATGGAAGGAAAGCCTTTCACTTGTGTGTAATTCCATCTATAGTAAATAAGAGTATGAGTTCCAGCAATGGTTATAATGTAAGAAAATGCTCCTGAAATCCCTCCATTTGTGATCCACCCTTCTGGGTTAACCAGTGACCTCTCCCATACAAAATACAGATCTTACTCTAACTGTCATGTCCCTAGAACTTTGGGCATCTGCAAAGTTACCGCATACTAGCTAGAAGAGGATGCACCAAAGGAAGCACAGAAAAAGGAAGGAGTCAGTTTAGACAAACATTACTGTTACCACTATCATAGAAAACAGGAGTCCATTACATGCTATATGTACCATGTGCTCATTATCATTTGATCCCCATGAAGTAGGAATCACAAGACTCCACTCTATAGATATGGAAACTTAGGTTTGGAGACGTCATTCAGCATCACACAGGAATATAAGATTGAGGCAGGATTCCAACTCCTCCTGAGCAGAGCACAGAGCCTGCACTATCTGATGCCACTTAGACAAAGCCCCTTCAGAGGACACTCTGAAGGAAACCTACCCAACATCCCTGTTTTTTTCAGGTATGAAAAGAGAGTCCCAGGAAGGAAAAAGGACTTGCCCCAGCCTTGCTATGACTCAGTGTCAGAGCCCAAGTCGAGGACCTTTTGTGTTTAATTGACGCGGCCTCTGCCTCTGGCTGCAGAGAAAGGCAGAGGAGTGGAGAAGCCATGGGAGGAGTGATGGGGGCTTGGGGAAGAGGTAGAGAAACAAATGACGGCCATGCTGAAAGCGGCTGCCTCCTTGTCGCACCAGCCTTGCTCAGTGGCCATGTTCTCCTCCTCCGGATCATTTCCAGACCTGCAGTTGGGCCTGTCCTGCCCACTCTGACCACAGCCTGGCTCCCCTGGAAAGGCCTAACACACTGCAGCCCCTAGGCTGCTGTGAAACTCTAAACAAACCTGTTGTTGGGGTTTGGGGAGGAAGAGAAGAAACCAGCCAATCAGCTCTAATGTTCCTTTGCAGGGATGACTGCAACAGGAGAAGAGCTTGGCACTGAGAAGACATCACTCACTCCTACCCGTCTGCCCTAACTCCCTATGGCTTCCCACCAGCAGAGGCCAGACTCCTCACCAGCACAACCTCCTTGGCTCTGCCCAGCCTGGCTGCCGCCTCTCCTCGGTGGAGCCTCAGGGAAATGGGCCACGTCTGCACATTCTTCAGGCCTCTGTGGGAGCTGGGCCTTCCACCCTGCATGCTCCCGGGCTCCGCCCCTCCCCCAAACCCAGCCCTCCACATTCTCTTTATGCACCTGACCCCCAAGAACTAATTTCAATGGCACTTTCCAAAGGAAGCCTCCCCTCACCTCACAAAGCCCTCTGTCACCTACTTTTAACCCACAGGCCTGGACTTCTCTTGGTACTTAGCACAGCCTGTCCTTCCTTCTTTGGTGTGATTGTTTCAATGATATCTGTCCCCTCTGCAGGTCTGTACACTTCATGAAGATAAAGACTGGGCCCATTTGTGTCTGTCTGTCATACGCTTTACTTCTCAGCCTGGGACGCAGTACAGGGCATGTAGTAGGTGTGCAAAAATACTGAATGAATCAATGAAGGGCTAGTGCTTCTGAAGCAGCAGATGTCCCATAAGGAGAACAGTGACATCTAGTGACCACTGTCATACTCCTGGGCTCCTCGCACAGCACATGTATTGGCCTCAGGAAGTGGGTATTTTGAGGATGCTGAGGGAGGCTGGCGTAGCATGCAGACACGGGGAATCTGACTCCTGAGCAAAGAGGAGAGGAACCAGCACATGTCCTGCTACCACATGTGCCAAGAGCACGTCATAAAAGTCCTGTGACTTAGCTAGTGTTGAACCACATTACAGAAGAGTAGAGTGTGGCCCAGACAGACAGTGACTGGGGCAAGTTCACAGAGTGGGCACTGGGGATATTCACAGCCTTACCCACCAAAACCTGGAGAGCTCAGCCCCACACAGCTACCAAGGAGCAGCTTTGTCCTCACTGACACAACACTGGTCAGACCACCCTTGGTATTTGCTGGAAGCTTCAACAGCCTCCTCATGCATCTCCCTGCTTCCCCTAACAGTTCCACAGTTGACTCTCACCCTGAAACCAGAGGTGTGGAGATGCACACGCATTTGGCTTTTTTGGATCTTTCATTAGTTTTACTTTGGGGACCTCTGATTATTTGTGATGCTTAATTCATGACTCGAGCTCATTGTTGTACCATGCATAATTAGACTTTATATATTCATCCAGTTAGTGTTCATTAGTTAGCTGGTTTTAATACTTTCATAAAACCCTGACAAATCCAGCACCTAAAGAGTTAGGAACCTGACTATGTTCATGTAACTCACTCTCATGTCATCACCCTGCCTCCCCTGACTTAAGGCCACCATCATCCTAACCTATGTTCATCATTCCCTTGATTCTTTTTTAAAGTTACCCATTGCATCTGTATTTATTCTTAAAGTAGTGTGTTTGGTGTGTATCCATTTTAACTTAAAACAGGAAAGGGCATCTATCATGCTATATAAAATGTACCTTTGGGATTTCCGGTCTTCACTGAACATTATGTTCACCCACCTCATTAAGTGTCACTATGGTTCACTCATTGTGGCTATAGTACCGTGTTCCGTTGCATGCATATTCCACATCTCATTTAACTGCTCTCCCATGGACGGTCATCTGCGCTGTTTCCAGAGGGCTCTTTCTGCCACTTAAATCTAATCCTATCAGCCTCCTGCTAACCATGTATCTTCAGTATGTCATTACGCTCCAGATAGGGTCCAGACTCCATGACCTATCTTACAACTGGCTAAATAAGCAAGTTCTTCCCAACCCCTCTGGCCTCATCTCTGCTCTCCCTCCATCTCTTAGTCTAAGTCATGGGAAATTTCTATTGGTCTGTATACAGACCATGTTCTTTTTGCCCTCAGGTTGTCTACCTGGTACTCTCCCCACTTTCCTATTCTCTACTCCTTTCTCCTCTATGAAGCCCTTCCTGCCCTTCACTCATCATGCACTGGCCCTTACTCAGCCCAACAGCATGCTGTGGGAGGAGCACATAATCCAGAGCATCTTACTGGACTTGGTCAGTGGTCTACAGACTGTCTTCCCTGGAGGCCCAGGGCTGCCCAGAAGCTGCTGCAGAGGGAAGAGTAGGGACGAGGCAAAGATGCTTTATCCACCTTCTTCTTTCTTACTGAAGGAGTGGCATCACTATTCCTGGTTTTGTGGATTGGGGTTCCTGAAGACTGCATTTGGAAAAAGTACTCCACAAACACAAGTTTGCAAACCAGTGAACCAAATCATTCACACAATCCTCTCAAGCCCTGACATGCTATAGTTGAAAATGAGAGAGACACAAAGAGGAAAAAGATGTAATTTCACAATTAAGCTTGCAAGCTCTCCAGCAGACCAACACTGAGCAAGTCACTAAATGTCTTAGGTTTCCTCACCTGCAAAGTAGGAATAGGATGAAGGTGAACCACATGGAATTGCCACTTTCATGAATAAATAACGGTCAAATGTTAGAAATTCCATATGAGTCAACAACATACCTATGAGTAAATCATAGATCTGGAAGGTAGCTTCAGTGAGCTAACCGAGTACAGCGCTGAAGTAAAGACTGCTAGATTTTAACCAAATCCACACCTTCTTCTCCTGGGCAGACTGACAGACTGCATTTCCCTGTCTTCATTTGCAGACAGGGGTGCCCAGTGGCTGAACTCTAGCCGACCAGTGAATGGGAGCTGAAATGATAATTTGCCATTCTCAGGCGTGGCCCATTTAAGCTTCTCGTGTGCAGTCTTCCATGTTCTTTCTTCTTCCAAAGCAGCCTTGGAAGCATCAGATGAACAGAGCACAAGATGGAACAGGCTGGGTCCCTGAACCACTTCTCAGAGTAAAGCCACTCATCAATCAAAAACATCTATTTAGGACTCTGCACAAACAAGAAATAACCTCAATTGTACTAAGCCACTGAGATTTGAGAGTTTGTCGGTCACAGTACCTCATGTTACCAAGCTGTATGTGTGCTTAAAACAAGGTAAGGAATCAAGAAATGCTAGTCCTCGCCATGATGGTGATGATGGTGGTGAGGATGACAGTCCTGATGGACAAAGGGCCCACCAAGGGCAGGAGATATGAGGGCTGGTGCTTAGATTTGACTTAGTGACTGTGTCAGGGGAGCTCACCTCCTTGGTGCCATTGTCCTGGATGAGAGTGTAAAGCGGTACCACACGGTTGATCTCCAGCAGCACCGGGGTGGGGCTCAACTGCTCTTTGCCCGGTCGGCGGCAAAGGTGGCAGGTAGATGGACAGCGGCCTTTCTCTTCACAGCGGATCTCCACACCTGAGATGAGCTGGTCATCTGACAGCATCTGGGCCGTCAGCAGACCTGAGAGGTAGGTGATGAAGGGCATGGACTTGAGCTCCTTCTTGCTGCCCAACTCCGTGGTCTCTAGAGAAAGAGATAAGTTCGGTATTGTTCAAAAAGTCAGACTCCTGAACCCATAAAGATGTGCTAAAGAAGTGGTATCCACTGGAAAGGAAATAAAAAGATGACAGAGTGGTTTGTTCATGATGCTTTGGAAAGAGCGTTGACCTGAGAGTTCAGAGGCCAGAATGGTGTCTTTTTCTACTATTTATATTAAATAATCCTTTGCTTTCTCTAGGCCTCACTGTCTCCAGCTTTAAAGTCAGTAGGTTGGACTAGAGGATTCTTCAAGGATCTTGCAAGATGTAAATATTCATGCATATTTTTCCTAACCAGAAATTCCTTTCTCTAACTGTCAATTTGTATAAATGCTACCTTTCTTTTAAAAACTTGCTCCAGTCCTATATTTCCCATGAAGTCCCATGTCATGGGGAAAGGGCAAACTTTGGAGTCAAGTCAATTTCAGTTAAAATCTCAATTCTGCTTGCTAAGTGCCTATAGTGATTAATTCCACAATGTGTGGTTAATAACAACAACAGAGGCAGTTATGACTGGTAAATGAGACAGGAGAGGGACCTGTCTGGAAAAGGCACGATTTCCCCTTTCTTTCCATGCTCGTCTATTCCCTTATTCAAACTTCTTTTCCTCAGAGTGCCGTCATGTGCGTGAATGACACATGTCCCATTCTGTGCTGTCCCTCTTGATCTATACAACTGGCGTTTCCCACCTCTGTGCCTTTGTTCACCCTGTCCTCTTTTTCCCCTCTGCCTCTCCAAATCATTACTACCCATCAGTGTTCCATCTCAAAGTGACCTTCTTCAGGAAGTCTTTCCTCCTTGCCCCAGCCCTTCTTCTCTGGATAAGCATTTCTGCTCATAAGATCTTACCCTGTTAAGCTCATTTTCTCAACCCCATTTTCTGTTGACCTCTCTAACCATATAATCGGCTCACGGAGACCAGGGGCCATATTTCTCAGTCCAGGCCCCCAACCTTCAGTGCCTAGCATGGTGCTAGAAATATTCTTGAGGTTCTATCAAAGAGAGAAAATACCTAGTCTGGGGGCTCCAAAATCATTCTGAGGAACTCTGGGGATCACAGCAGGCATCTCAGCAGCTTCCTGAAGAGGGCAAGAGGGAAACTGAGCAGGCAGGACTCTAAACCTACACCTCAGCTTCACATAGAAAGTCCCACTATCTCTTTTATAGACTGGCCTGCTACATAAGATTTCATAAGAAGAAAGGGCTCAAAGCATGAAGCAGCAAAGTGATTTATACAACTCAGAGGGTTCCATTTACATCACATGGTGTCCTCAGAGCTGTACAATGCAGAGTCAGACACAACAAGGTGGCCCTGTACTAAGGGACAAAGCTTGGTCCAGGTGGCAGGTTCATCCAAGCCTAGTGAAGTCAGGGCAAGCTCCTGCCTCAGTGGAAACAGGGTCCCTGGGCACCAAGTCCTAGGAGAAAAAAGAAGGTTGTTTCCTGCTCTCAGCCTGCAGTGACACGCAGCTGATCTGGAAATGGGCTTGCCAATTAGAAATACAAATAAACGCAGTCTTCATTCATTACTCTCTGGCCCTCGGGCTTGGGATCTGGGCTCCACCTTTTCTGTCTGGCTGTCAGCAAATGCTTATGAGCATCAGATCAAAGGCTCTGGGGGAAGAAGACAAGGCAAATTCCAGCTAACCAATCCTTTAGAGGGATTAAAGAAGAGTAGTTACTAAGATAAACAAAACAAAGCTGCGAAGAAGGCATCTCGGCAGCTGGGGAGACGGAGACAGTCTTATATACAGACATGTCAAAAGAAGATGATGACGACCTTTGGAAGTGCAGACTGGAGGGACAGTTTTGGAGAAGGGTGACTTCCAACTCGGGAGAGAACTATTCAGGGGAGAAGGTCAGGGAAAGTCAGAGCTGCAAGGACATTAGGAAGTGGTCAGCCCACACCCTGATGCAGAATTCAGTAAACCATGGCCCATGTATCAAATCCAGCCCTCTGCTTGTTTCTTGTAAATAAAGTTTTATTGGAACACAGCCCCCCTCATTTACTTATATACTGTGTATGGCTACAATGGCAGAATGGAGTAGTTGCAACAAAGACCCTATGGTTCACAAAGCTTAAAACATTTACTATCTGACCCTTTACAAAAAACACTTGGAAACCTCTGCTCTAGCCCTAAGCTACAGATGGGTAAACTGAGTGTCAGAGAGAGGTTACACAGGAATGTGGCAGTACGATGGATTAAAGTAAAACCTCTGGAATCAACAGACCACCAATACATGTGGATTGTGAACCTCCAAAGAGAAAAGATAGAGTAGAGCATCTTTTCTCTATAAAATATCTTTGGAAAACTATTGAAAAAGTATACCTTTGAAAAGGCTAGTCTGGTATAATTCTCCCATTTTGAATGAGAGGAAATAGTGTTCCAAAGAAGGTAAATGACTTTTTGAGGTCGCATGAGTTAGTGATCCTTTTAGTACATGACCCCAGCCTTCTGTTAACCAATTCATCACTTAAACTACTTTTTTTTTTAAATCTCATACTTTGGAATACAGACGCCCTGCCCCTCATAGCACCTTGCCATAATTTAATTGGGAAAATAATGCGACATGGTGCTGGGGGTAAGGATTCCCTTGATGAAACAAACATTCATAGCCATCGGATTAAAGATCTAAATATCTGTCTAATTCAAAACAAGCTATTGATCTAAGTTGGTCTGCTTTTGCCCAATAAATTTTTTTTCAGTCTATCAGCTCAACATAAGTGGGGTTATAAGTACTCAACATAAGTACTTTTAAGTGGGGTTAAAAGCCTATAGTCCAGGCTGAAAACTGCATTCCGGTAGCAGTATAGAATTTAAGCTGAATTTAAGGGCTTATTTTGCAAAATGAGGGCCCTGGGATATCATCTGGTCCAGCCGCATTGTTAACAAGTGAGGAATCTTATAAGACCTAAATGGAAAAAGGGATTTAACTGTAAGTCCCACGCACATTTATTAACAACGATCCTTTTTGTAAAGATTGTACCATGCTTCAATTATGATCTGGATGAAAGTTACAACAGGGAAGACCATTAGCCATTCCATTAATTATTCCTCTGTAGACACTACAATTGCAAAAGCTAATTGCTTCTGATCCAACCTCACTCTGTGGCTAAAGTCATCTTTTCAAGAGGCAAACTCTATATCCTTCTCCTGCCTAAATCTCTTCCAGGGCATTTCACTGCTCTCAAGATGAAGACCAAAATCCTTAACACGGCACATAGGTAACGTGGGATCTAGACAGCCTGTCTGCCTGTCCAGTCTGATCTCTCATCCTGTTCCTCCTAATTCTCCTCCTGTCAGCTACGCTGGCCTTCACATTTCTTGCATACACCCTGTGCCTTTCTCAGTCTTGGCAATGCTCTTCTCTCTGCACAGAATGCTTTCCCCCACCCCACCCTCCACCCCTGCCTTCTGGCTCACTCCCACTTATCCTTCAGATCTCAGTTCAAGGGCCTGTTCCTCAGAAAAGCCTCTCCTGAACTCCATGCCACCAGTCTCTATTAGGGTTTCATACTAAAGATCCTCATAGCATCCCATTCTATGTACCACCCGCTAACATCTACAGACTATAAGATCCATGAGGGCAAAGGCAGTGTTAGTTTTGCTGATTTCCATAACCACTTTACGTATTACCTGGAGCACAGTACGATTTTAATATTTTCAATAACGTATTTGAATATATATTTATATACCCTGATCACTGTGCTAGCTCATCAAAACACTGATGAGTCTAAGAGCCAAGATTTGTGAATTTCAGGATTGACAATCAACTTGATGGCTTGCCATCAAGTGGCAAGCTCTTCCCAAAGAAAAACTAGCCCTCGACTGAAAGGTTAACAGATGAATAGCTGATCAATTTGCCAGTTGTTCTGACCTCCTCCAGGTTTTCACATAGGCCCTTGCCATCGAGGGGATGGGAGAGTTCAGTTAAAACAGGCTGTCTTTAACAGGCCAAGGATAAAGAGCATTTTTGAAGAGACTTATCCTCTGTTCACATTTCCCATCCCTCTGAACAATGCTTCCAAAATAGGATCATGTCTGGTTTCAAGCCCAATTCAGTTCCAATGACACTACAACCCATTCATTTGAGAACCTGCCAACTGAACTCTCTTTTTTCTCCTCCCAAATTCCTGCTGGGTATTATTTTGTTGCCACCAGAGGGGGGAAAAAAGCCTTAGTTGAAGTGACAACTCCTTGTTGGGAGGGCAGCCAGGGCTTTTCGGCAGGAGGTGATGGCACCGCTTGCCCTCATCCAGAAAACAAAACAAAGGCATCAGACTCAGGGCTTCTGGGAGAGCCAAAGCCGCGTGAATGTTTGTTCAATATTCGGCAACAGCACAGGGCGCTGCCTCCCGAGTCAGACAGGCTTGCTTTGGCAGTAGGCTTCCACTTGAAGCATTTAAAGGCTCCACAGGGACCAGAGGGGCTCAAATTAGAAACGTTAGGGTGGGGGAAAGAGGGTGAGACTTTTATATCATAAAGAATGGCCTTTATTACAGCAACGGCCTCCCAGGAATTGCTGAAATGGGATCATTTCTTAGGCGGAGTTACTGTCTCCTGTTGGAGGAAAGCAATTGCTCTGAAGCCTGCCTCAAGGACCCACACAAATATCCTTAACAAAGGAGAGGTAGCCTGCTGAAATGCCTTCGCTGGTCTGCCCTTCATAGGCAACAGTACCGACCTGAAGGAGTATTTGTGGAGATCAAAGAAGGTGCCTGGCAAAGGTTAAGCACTCAGTCAATATTAGTTGTTATTGTTGTTCCTGCTGTGGTTGTTTTAATTGTTATCGCTATTGCTGGAACAAGATGGTAAAACTGAAATTTCTATTGAGACACCAAGACAGAATGGAAGTGAAATCCCAAAGCCAAGGCCCTAGATACAGAATTCACAAAGGAGGTGAATCCCAACTAGTTTTATAACTCTAGAAACCTCAGCCAGAACAAGAAACTAAAATGAGGTCAGAGAGGAGACAGGAAGGATT